ATATATATATATATATTTCAATTGATTTTTCAATTAAAATCCAAATTTCCAACCGATATCCGTTGGAATTCCGTTGGAATTTTTTTTAAAAATTTTTCAAAAAAATTTCCAACCGGCATCCGTTGGAATTCGGTTGGAATTTTTTTTAAAAAAATTTCCAAAAAAAATTCCAACCGGCATCCGTTGGAATTCCGTTGGAATTTTTTTAAAAAATTTCCAAAAAAATTTCCAACCGGCATCCGTTGGAATTGTTTTCTAACAAACATCCGTTGGAACTCCGTTAAAAATTTACAACCGATTTTTCTAACGTTAATCCGTTGAAAATTTCCAACGGATATCCGTTGGAAATACCGTTGGAAATATACCCGTTGGAAATTTTCAACGGAATTTTAACGGAAATCGTCGTTGAAACGCCGTTGAAAACCGTTGAAAATCCGTTGGAAATCCGTTGGAAATTTTCCAACGGACAAATCCGTTGGAAAATCCGTTGGAATTCGAGGATTTTTTTGTAGTGTCAATATCTATAGGAGTACATATATTTTCTTTGAATCAAACATACAATAAATAGAAAAAAAAATCTCAAGTTGGCGAATAATCCATAAATCGAAAGGAGCATTTACATACCTTAATTCATATGTATATATATAGTTAGCCGCCGAGCTCACAGTATTTTTCAGGATATGAATATCAAAACATATAAGTTATCTAATAATGATTACTTATCATGCGTACGTAAAAATGGCGCAATTAAATAATTTGGTTGATTTCGTTCGCAGACCGCATTGACCGTTTCAACTTTGTTTCATGACCGTTCTAATTGTAATAAAATCCCTAGGGGTAAGTTTTTATTTTTCCGGTCCACCGATTTGAACATTTGATTTTGTGATTACATATTTAATCTATTTATAAAATAAGAAAGATCGGAAAAGGTTCGTGAAACCGTGTTTCTGGTGGAATCGTCCATCCGATTTCTTTTCCTAATTTGCCCCCTTCGAAACAAATCTTTTTTATTAATCATCACTTACCCTATATTTCGTCAAATAAATATAATTTTGTAATGCAATGATCCACCGCAATAAAAAAAAAAGTTTCTGGTGTAAATAAATATGTGAATTTATCTTCTCTAGAGATTTGCGTCGACATATTTTTCGAAATATATCTAAAATTTGAGATGATAGTATCGGTAATGAATCACAAACATTACTTTAAAGTTTTAATTATAATGTTTATGGTTATTTAAAAATTAGTAAAACGGCATACGGTCAACAAAATATTGACCAGAAAATGTTTACAAATCGAGGTTTCATATTATTACGAGAAAATGAAAGATCGAGGAAGGTGTTAAGTCTAGTTGTTAGACGGCCTATGTGTTTATGTACATTCCTTGGGATAACCTTCTCGACCAACCCAAAGAAAGTCAAAATTGAAAAATCTCAAAAATTGCTTTACTGTCACCCATTAATGTATGTTACCACCACCTTAAATATGATAAATTTTTAACTAATATAATAATAATAATAATAATTAAAATAAACAAAAACCAAGATTTACTAAATCTTTTTATTTACCCTTTAATTCCAATACAACCCATCATGAGATTTTTGTCAACGGTAGTGGTTGTACCCATGTACTTATATTCTGACAACAACGTACACTCTCGTCCCAGACACGTTTTAACTCAAAGAAACCCTTCCATTCATGACAACATTACGTTCCGACAACGTCGGATCCTTCATCCGACGCCACTTCTCGGCGGCGGCGGTCGTAGTGGCTTGTCTCGTCATCTTTCTCGCCCGGCCGGCCCACCAAACTTTCCACTTCGGTCCTCGTCTTCCCACTAACCCGTGTTCCGGTCACGGTTCTTGGTTTCCGCCTATCGCAAACCCTAGACTCTTGAAGGCTTATACCGCTGGAGAAAAGTTCGAAAAAAAAAATAAACTGAGCCCGGTCAGCCGGAGAATTGGTGCGGTCCACACGTTTGTAACTATACCGGTGTATTCTGTGCCGCCGCCCCGGACGATCCTTTCACCTTAACCGTGGCCGGAATCGATCTAAACCGAGCCAATATCGTCGGCTCTCTTCCCCTAGAACTCGGTCTCTTGAACGATCTCGCCTTGTTTCATCTCAACTCAAACCGTTTCCATGGGGAATTGCCGAAAACCCTAAAGTATCTCCGGTTTCTCAACGAGCTCGACGTTAGTAACAATAAATTCTCCGGCGGCTTTCCGGACATAGTTTTCTCGTTACCCTCTTTGAAGTTTCTCGACATAAGGTACAACGAGTTTTACGGAGACGTTCCTAAGGGAGTTTTCGACTTAAAGCTCGATGCTTTATTCATTAACGACAACAAGTTCCGGTTTAGTTTACCGGAAAACATCGTTAACTCTCCGGTTTCAGTTCTTGTCTTGGCCAACAACGATCTCTATGGATGCATACCTCCGAGCTTTTACAAAATGGGGAATACATTGCACCAAGTGATCCTCTCGAACAACCGACTAACCGGTTGTCTTAACCGGGAGATCGGTTCGCTTAACCGGTTAACGGTTTTCGACGTGAGTTTTAACAACTTGGTTGGTCCATTGCCGGAGACGATGGGAGAAATGAAGAACTTGGAGCAATTGAACGTTGCCCACAACAGATTCTCTGGCGAGATTCCGAAGAGCATTTGTATATTGCCGAAGCTCGAGAACTTTACGTATTCGGATAACTTTTTCTCCGGCGAACCGCAGGTTTGTCTGAACCTCCGGAACTTTGATGACCGGAAAAATTGTATCCCTCACCGACCAATGCAACGGTCGTACGGTGAATGCAAGAGTTTCTATGCTTATCCTATTGATTGTGGTTCCTTCGGTTGCTCCCCTCCCAGTCCTCCGCCGCCGCCGCCGGTGCTGTGTCCACCGCCACAGCCGGTACATTACGAGGCTCCGTGAAAACAAAAGGTACAATATATGCGTTATTGTGTTTGCATGTAGATGTTGGTTGTACCACGGGAGACTTTATATATACATTATTGACGTGAGTATCGAATATATATATATAGATCCGTCGTTTCACTTCTAATTAATATTTGGGAATTGGCGTGTAATTGTTTTTGCGATGACCACGAGTTTTATGTGTTATGTTTTGCGTATATTATTATTTTTAAATGGTTAGAGAAAATTGTTACACCATGTCTATTAATATCATCTTGGGTCCACCATGATTCACACAAGAGAAATATGTAAACAATCGACATCATACAAAAAAACGTTTCATCCAAGACGGAACTATGTATAAATAATATAGAATAACGGAAATATGAATCATCCTAAAAGGATTAAAAGCGTATACCTACGCACACTAACAATCACATTACACTCTTATAAAGTCAACGGTCAACCCCTTTCCGGGTACGAGAAACCAAATGCTATATATATATATATATATAAAATAATAAAATAGTTAAACAAGCAATAATTACCAAATCTTGGATATAAATTAATATCGGATTCGGATAAATCGTTTCCATTTCTACATATGCCCATACAAGTATGCGTGGTTTTGGGCTTCAAAAAGCACCCAATTATATAAAATCATTATATATTCCTATGTCAGAGATTCTTGTATGGTCACTTTATTTTCCTCCAGTTATTTTTTTGGGCCTTTTTCATGGTCCAATTTCATTTCGCATACAATGGGGAGTTGCCATTTCAATTTTCAACTCCCCACTGATGTTATCAGGGTCTGGTTTAGGAAAACCAAACGGTTTAATGTGGTATTGGTTTGAAACCTTAACCGGTCCAACCCGGCTCATGATCACATCCACAAGACTAAGACCAATGCCCAAGTGTTGGGTCCTACCACCGACAATGTGTCCCTCTGTCCACGACACCTCTCCAATAATAATCGCATGGACCATACACCCATAGCAGTCTTGGGGACACTCGTTACAAATATTTAAATTCAATATTCCACGCATATATCGGTCTTTATTAAGATTCTTGAAAGATTGTTACGTTGGGTGAGATTCATAACTTTCACAAAACCACCAATATTCAAAATCCACATATACATATACGTATTCTTGGTTTTTTTACCGTTGGATACTTACCTAATTAAGTATTTGTCCTAAAACAACGTTCCAATTCTACTATATACTAGAGATCTATACGGATCTCTGATATTTCATGGGAATATGTTATAGATATATTTTCGTTTGTAGTTTATTAGGGGAATTTAAACTTTTTATCCATGTATATAGGTTATTTAGTTTAAATTACACTAATAAACTAGAAACAAAAATATATCTATAATATATTTCTATGAACTAATATACGGGAAAAAATTATTTTCGTATATACATTACACTTCAAATGGGTGCTAATATATGGTGACAGGAAACAAAAAAAAGTGACATATATATATATGATGATATGGTTATAAACTATATTATATACAGAGAGACCACATAATTTCTCTTTCTAATGACTTTACAGAATGATTGAGTTGCAAGTGTTGGCTTCTTGTGCTCACCCAAAAGACGCAGACACAATCTTGTTCCTACATATGACATCCCCATCTTTTTTTTTCATGTCTTTCTTTTCCTTTTTTCTTTTTCTTTTTCTTTTTATATTTTTTTTTTGAGATCTTGGTGACCCATTTATGATCCTTTTTAGAGGTCTTGAAGATGCTGGCATTGATGCGTGTTGGTGGGAATGAGATCTGCGTGCAAGAGACTTTCAGATTCAGATAGCATTTATATCATTTCATATAGTCCAAGATATGGGGTCACTTGTTCACTAAATTATTATGTAAATTAAATTAAATCCATCCTTATAAAATTTCGTATTCCATCTCTACGAGCCCCCGATGTTATAAAATGATATTTTTTTTATCACATTTTTATGTTATTGTTCATAAGAATCATTGTAATCTTATATGCTACTCTGTATTATTATTTTCAATAGAAGAATGGAACATGTTTCGGCTTTTTTATAAATAAATATGGAAAAAAAGGAGGTAGATTATATGTAATCATATATTTATTTAGATTTTTTTACAAATTCGTTTTATTAATATGTGATTTTTCCAAAAAATTATCATTCCATCTTTCAACTGTTAGATATCTAAATAATAAAAAGTAATATTCTTGTCTAGGAGACATCTATAATTGGAGACTATATAAAATATTGACATATGTTCATAAAAATTGTAGTACTGATTTGGTTGTTAGAACACGATATTTTTTCTATTTAATATAATCAAAATATTCCAATTAGAATTAAAACAAATACAAATTAAAAGGACATTAAATTTTATGTAATGTAACCCTTACCTAATGGGAAAGCTTTTGTTTAGTTTCTTACTTAGCCAATTTAATACTCATAATTAAAAGAAAGATTAAAAGCTAATCCACGTGAACAACACGACCTATGGATTTCTTCTTCGTGACTATACTCTTTTTACTACCTTTATAAAAATCACACCTCCCCAATCTTACTTTTATGTAAGAAAATTTATCATATTGTAAAAAAAAAACATTTATCATATATATTACAAATGATAAACAAAGTATATGTGAGAAACGGTATTTTTTTAATCAATTTGATAACATTTAAAAATGATATAACCTTTATATATCTCGAGCTGATTATTGACGTTTTTTTTTATGAGACGAATATTCATTTTTCTGTTATTAGGTATCGTTATGTAAAAACCATTGAATAACGATTTAATAAACTTGCAAGTGAAAATAATGTGTGAATATAATATTTCCTAAAAGTAATGTGAATATATATATATATATATATATATATATATATAGGACAAGTACGTATATGATTACGTTTGATAGGAGAAATTGCATGCCAAAATTATTGTTACAGACTAACATATGTAGTGTGGGTCACATTTTGCTGATGAGCTTTTTTTTTTCTCAACGTTCTATATATTTTTTTTATAATGTTTTAATATTATGGTCCATTGGGACATCTGCCACAATGTATGTAATGATTGTGCTCATTTGCAACAACTAAAAACCTAAAAAACTGGAAACCAAAATGAAAATTACACGTAAACATAAGATAGAAATATATAGTTTTAATGTGTTGAATTATATGTATTTCTATTTATAAAAATGATCCATTTTTAATAGAAATAATTAAGAATTCATTTGGTTGTGATTAGAGGGGTGATAAATTAAGATTTTAGTGTGTATATATATATATATATATTAAAATGATTATATATAGAAATTATAACTTATATAACACATACCAAAATGTGTCTAACATATAATGTCAAAGTTATTTGTAAAAAAAATTATAAATACAATTTTCAAATAGTAACAATTAATTAATGAAAGAATCAGATTTAGTTGCCTGTTGAGGAAGAAGATCTATCTAGTACAAGATATTCAACCCAAAAATCAGGTATATTAAACACATCAATGATTTTCTTTTAAATACATCAATTATAGAAAATAATAAATATCTGTTTGTTTTTAATTTTGACAAAATTATTTTTCAGCCTTGCAGTCAAAATCAGCAGAAGTAGACTGTTTAAAGGAACCAACTTTTGTAGAACCCAAGAAAGAACATTTTTTAGATCTCAAGCAAAGGGCAGATTTGTCATTTTCGTAAATGATCTTATTAATCCCATTTTCATTCAGACAAATACTTAATGGTTCAGTAAATAAATTACATAAATCTAGCTTTTCCAACAAAAAGTTTAGTTTTAAAAAATCTATTAGTACTATTTAATTCATCCAAACTAGAAGAAAATATAACAAAAAAATTTAAAGGGCAATCATTTTCTATTAGTACTATTTATTCATCCAAACAATTTCTTATAAGAATAATTTGTAATGTTTTTTTTTGTTAATCCGTGAGATTTCTGAAAATTTATTCGACACAACCCCCGATCTCGAATTTAAAAAGAATAAAAAACAAATATACACACATATATATATATATAAATGACATCCGGGATTTACTAGGTTATTAGTCATAACGACCGTATTATTTTCCATTAATTGCGTAGATTACATCAAATTCGTTACAATTTTAAAACTCACACACACTATAACATCAGTTTTTGGTCAACACAGTATCTACATATTCCAAAAGATTGTACACTAAATTAGGAAGAGAAAAACAAAAACAGAGGCAAGAAAATAAATGTAAGAAATTACAGTGTGCGTCCCATCATTCTTATCCTTCTTTTGTCTCTCACAGAAATCCCAATCTAAGCATATATAAGAGAGAGAGGAGAGAGAGAGAGAGAGAGAGAGAGAGAGAGTAGTTGAAAAGTGAAGTAGAGAGAGAGAGTATGGGTTAATCTGCAGTACATTGAAGCTGAGTTTTGGTGTGAACAGCGTCTGTTGGTCAAGAACTTTGGCTTGTTTGGTATGGGACTTCGATCTATTGTGCGAAAATTTCTTCACGAGAAAGTGTTTTTCTTGATGTTTCTGTCAAACCCATTTTGATTTTGTCGGAAAAAATCGATCTTTTTTCCTCCATTGTTCTCATATGAGCACCCATTTCGTTTTACGCATTTTGACGATGAAAGGCGCATCCTTTCTGCCTATATTCATACCCCCATCTCGTTTTTTATGAACTCTGGTTCAATTACTTGAGTAAAAATACCGTCTTTTGTAGTTTCTCTCGATACCCATTACATCCTTCTGGTAATTTGATCTCAAAAAGTGGATGAAAGGAAACGTTTTTCTCTCAATTGCTTGTCTACTTTGGTCTGCATTTGCTGAATGGTGTTCTGTCCCTTAGCTTAAGGAAGTTTACCCTTTTTTTTGCTGTTTCTATTGATGTGTCCCCTCTTTGTTGCTGCGATCCGAAATGCTCGGTGGTTGAAGAATCTGCATTTGCCATTTCTGTGCTCGTCCTCTCAATTAGGTCAAGTTTGCAATTTTCGCCGACACTCCGAGTTTTAGTCGCTTTGATCCGAAAAATAAATGACCCTTTTACTATTTTGGTTCGTGCCCACTTCCCGTTACTATGATTTACCACCTCTTTCTTCGGATCAACATTTTATACTTTGCTCATAGTAACCTTATGATAACCTGATTTCTTTGTTTCTTCTTGGTGTACGCCACTTTTCTGCTGTTCCCCCCCTAATTCTCCTTGAATTATGGTATAATGTTTCTATTTCCACCAATGAACTTGGGTTGAGTGATAGGTAGATCCCAGTTTTCATTGTGTGTAGGTGAGGTCTTTGTTCTTGTTAATATCACACACAAAATTCCGTTGCCTTTACGCTGAAGAAAATATATAGTCTGGTGGTGAATCCAAGTGTTAGACTCGATTTTTCCTGTAAACGAAATGGAAGATTCAGCAGTGAATCGCTAGTATTCGTTTCTCTGTCTTTTTGTCTCTCTGAACAAAGCTTTTCGTTTTGTGTACAGGGTTGAGGAAGAACTTGTCTTTTATCATTCATAGGAGAATCAGCCTTTGATACAAACCCACAAAGCGAGTAGAGGTTTGTTCCCTTTGGCCAAGTTTGAACGGCTTTACCCGGATGATATATCTTTGAAACCAAGAGAAAAACATGATCTAAGTCTCATTACCATGTTCAAATTTTTTATTTTTATTTCTACTTATATGGTCACATTGTTTCGATTTCACAGGTGAAAGTCCCGTGGCAGGGTGATCAAGGAACTCTCTGTTTGTAGGATATTAGCTGCGGGCGAGGGGGGAAATATCGAGCTCGTTGACTCTGGCCTGGAACCATTACCTCGCCCTTTCCCAGTGGAGCGAAAGGGACCACCATTGGGTGAAGTCCAAACCGATATTTCTGATTCTTGCAGCCGGCGTCATGGCCACTGTGTTGCATTCAGAGTCCAGACGCTTGTACTCTTGGTGGTGGGATAGTCACATCCCAAAGAACTCAAAATGGCTTCAGGAGAATCTTGCAGGTCTCTCTCGCTTTCAGTACTTATAGAAACTAAACATCAAGAAAAGATGCTAATGAGAAACTGAATGTGTATATGTAGCTTGAATGACTAAGTTTTCCTGTGGGTTGGTCTGAAGTAATGAACATAAGTTTCATGCATAATCTTCTAGGTTCTGAATTCTGAGATGATCTTGTTTCATGTATTAAAGCACTCTTATTTGATAAATGTCAGTGGTTTTGGATGTTTATTTACCGGGTTGGAACTTAGAAATTTATTCCTTGAACAGATATGGATACGAAAGTCAAATCGATGATCAAACTCATTGAAGAAGATGCAGATTCTTTTGCGAGGAGAGCAGAAATGTACTACAAGAAACGTCCAGAGCTCATGAAACTGGTGGAACAGTTTTACAGAGCTTACCGTGCATTAGCTGAGAGGTATGACCATGCGACAGTGGAGCTTCGCCATGCTCATAAAACCATGGCAGAAGCATTCCCAAACCAGTTGCCTTTCGACATGAGTGATGATTCCACATCGTTTTCTTCTGAGCCTCGTACCCCTGAGAAAATGCCACCGCGAATTCAGCCATTTTATGACTCTGAAGACATGCAAAATGATGGTAGTGCAAGTAACAAGGGCTTAAGACAAGTGAAGGAGCTATTCAGGAATCCAGATGCTAATAAAGCAGATACAGAAGTTGAAGCCTTGAAGAGAACTTTAATGGAACTTCGGGCTGAGAAGGAGGCTTTGAGTCTCCAGTATCAGCTCAGCCTGAACAAACTATCCAGGCTGGAGAAAGACCTTGACAATGCTCAAAACGATGTGAAAGGGCTTGATGATCGTGCTTCCACAGCCGAGATTGAGTTTAAGATACTGAAGGAAGCCCTTGCAAAACTAGAAGCCGAGAGGGATGATGGACTTCTTCAGTATAATCAGTCGGTGGAGAGAATAGCAGAGCTGGAGGCTTCGATTTCACAAGCACAAGAAAATGCAAAGGGCCTCAGTGATCGATCATCTAAAGCAGAAACAGAAGCTCATAGTCTCAAGCAAGAGCTTTCTAGATTGCATGCTGAGAAAGAAGCTGGGTTAGCCCAATACAAGCAATGCTTGGAGATGATATCTGCTTTGGAGAATAGAATCAGAGATGTTGAGGAGAATACCCGGATGTTTAAAAATCAATCTGAAAGAGCAGAGGATGAAATTAACGCATTGAAACAAGAACTTGTGAAGTTAAATGAAGAGAAGGAAGATCTGAATCTTCAGTACCAGCAGTGCTTGGAGACCATTTCAAAGCTAGAGAATGAACTTTCTCATTCTCAAGTCAATGCCCAAAGATTGAGCAGTGAAGTTCTGGCTGGGGCTGCAAAATTAAAGACTGTGGAGGACCAGTGTGCTCTTCTGGAGAGCTCGAATCAAACTCTGAAGGCCGAAGCAGACAATCTAATGCAAAAGATAGCAGCCAAGGACCAAGAACTTTCAGAGAAGCAAAATGATCTTGAAAAGCTTCAGGCTTTACTCCAAGAAGAATTCTCTCGGTTTTCAGAACTTGAAGTCAATCTTAGAAGCTTGAAGGGTTTGCATTCTCAGTCTCAAGAGGAACAGAAAGCTCTCACCTTGGAACTTCAAAGTCGGGTTCAAATGTTGAAGGATCTGGAGATGCATAATCATGAGTTGGAAAATGGCATCAGCTCGGTTAAAGAAGAAAACCGGAACTTAAGTGAGTTGAATAACTCTTCCACCATCTCCCTTCAGATTCAGCAATATGAGATTTCTAGTTTGAAGGAGATGAAAGAGAAGCTCGAGGAAGAAGTTGCAAGACAAATGAACCAGAGCAATTCCCTTCAAGAAGAGATCTACCGTCTGAAGGATGAAATTGACAGCTTGAACAGAAGATACCATATGTTAATGGAGCAAATCAGGCTTGCGGGTTTGGATCCTGAATGCCTTTCTTCCTCTCTGAAGAAACTACAAGACGAAAACTCGAAGCTGATTGAATTGTGCGATAACCAGAAAGGTGAGAAGGAAGCTCTGACTGAGAAGTTGCGTGAAATGGACGTCATTTTACGGGAGAATGTTTTTCTGGAGAAATCGCTTTTGCAATCAAACACCAAACTGGAAGGCTCTAGGGAGAAAGCAAATGATCTGCAAGAACTATGCCAATCTTTACGGGGAGAGAAATCCGAGCTTGTTGCTGAGAGAGCTAACCTGCTATCTCAGTTACAACTCATGACAGAAAATATGCAAAAGCTTTTGGAAAAGAACACCTCGTTGGAGAATTCTCTTTCTGGTGCAAACATCGAGCTTGAAGGTCTGAGGGAGAGGTCAAAATGTTTCGAACAATTCTTCGAGTTGTTAAAAAATGAAAAGGCTGAACTATTAAAGGAAAGAGAATCTCTTGGCTCTCAGATGAATCGGGTTGAGGAGAGGCTAGGAGTCTTGGAGAAGAAATTTTCGGAATTGGAAGGGAAATATACTGATCTGCAGCGGGAGAAACAGTTCATGAATTTTCAGGTGGAAGAATTACAGGTTTCATTAGCTACTGAGAAGAAAGAACGGGCTATTTATGAACGTTCGACTGAGACCAGATTGGCTGATCTTCAGAAAAATGTAAGCTTTCTTCGAGAAGAGTGCCGATCCAGGAAGAAAGAGTTTGAGGAAGAGCTTGACAGAGCTGTAAACGCTCAAGTCGAGATCTTCATCTTGCAGAAGTTTATAGAAGACTTGGAACAGAAAAACTTTTCTCTCCTGATTGAGTTCCAGAAGCATGTCGAGGCATCAAAATTCTCCGAAAAACTTATCTCCGAGCTGGAAAGCGAGAATCTTGAGCAGCAGATGGAAGCAGAGTTCTTGTTGGATGAGATTGACAACTTGAGGGGTGCCATCTATCAAGTGATGAAGGCCCTTCAGCTCGAATCAGATTATAAGCTTGCAGACTGCAAGATTGCGAAAGAATGGATTCCTGTTTCACGTATAATGGGTGAGATAGATTCCCTAAATCGGTTGCGTTCCAGTACCGAAGATGAGATGCAGAGACTTGTAGTTCAGAACTCAGTGCTATTATCTCTACTTGGACAGTTCCAGTCAGATGGGTTGGAAATGGAATCTAAGAAGAACATCCTTGAGAAGGATTTAGAGGTGATAATAGAGCAGCATGAACTGCTGAAGAAGGACAAACAAGAGCTACTGGAAATGAACCAGCAGTTGAAATCGGAATTGATCAAGAGAGAGCACCGGGAGCAAGAGCTAAGGGTCAAATTGCAAACCGAGCGTGTAAAGGGCGAGAACTTGAACAAGGCATACGAGTTTTTGCAACAAGAGTATTCCAATGCACTCGGCAAAATCGAAACTTTGCTGCAGAAGTTTTCGGAACTTAAGTGCGAAATGTGTACACTTCAGGAAGAAAATGATGCAATTCTTCAGGAAGCTGTTGCTTTAAGTAACATGTCAGTGGTTTACCACTCTGTTGGGGATGAAAGAGCTAAACAAGTCAAAGATTTTACCGAAAAGATGGATACTTTGGTGGAAATTAACTCCAATCTTAAACAAAAGCTCGAAACAATGGAGGAGAAGTTGAGAGAAAAAGAAGCAGAAGGGCATGAGCTTAGCAAGAAACTGGAGAAGTTACAGGAAGGATTCGAAGAGGCAAACGAGCTGAACGACCTCTTAGAGAATCAAATTTCAGATAAAGATGAAATCTTTAGACAAAAGGCTGTAGAGCTTCTCGAGGCAGAACAGATGCTCAAGGCTACACACAATGCAAATGTGGAATTGTGTGAAGCAGTTGAAGAGCTGAAGAAGGAATGTGAAGAATCGAAGGGAATGAGGGCAAACTTAGAGAGACGGATTTCTGAACTTCTGGAACTCAAGGGGAGGCAGGAAGAAGAGATCGTAAAGCTTAACACTTTGAATGAAACCTTGGAATCTGAGGTAGAGTTATTACATCAGGAAATCCAAGAACAGCGCGTTCGAGAGGAGTATTTGAGTTTGGAACTGCAGGAGAAAACCAATGAGTTTGGACTTTGGGATGCAGAAGCTACATCTTTCTATTTCGATCTTCATATCTCAGCTGTCCGAGAAGTTTTGCTCGAGAACAAAGTTCACGAACTCACTGGAATTTGTGAGAATCTCAACGATGAAACTGTTGTGAAGACCAGAGATATAAGACAGATGAAAGAAACAGTTGGGTTCTTGGAAAACGAAATCGGTGAACTGAAGGCTCAGTTATCTGCTTATGATCCTGTTGTAGCATCACTGGCCGAAGATATAAAATCTCTCGAGGAAAGTGCCTTATCTTTGACGAAACTTCCAGCAACAGTTGATCGAAGCAGAGAGGTAAACTTCTCTTACATAATGTCTGTCATCTTCTTGGTTCCTGTTCTTCAAATCTGTTAAGTGTTCTTGTTCCAGCTATCTCTGTTTCATGGGCTGAAACTTGAATTTTGTTCACTGTGATTGTCCAAGCTTGCATTTTCTGTGCTTCTTGATCTAAACCCGTGGTTTTTCCCGACAGGAGGAGCACTCGGAAGCTACAGTCTCCCGAGAATCCGAAGGGCAAAGCGGTGGAACACCAGGAGACAAGATTGTGCTTCTGCGGGAAATGAAAACGAGAATCAAAACCATTGAGCAGGTAGTTGTGAATGAAAGGGATAGACTTGTTAAGCAGAGAAGGAGAAGTTATTCGAATAGAAGCAGAGACCGGAGGAAGGACAGGAGGAGCACTCGGAAGCTACAGTCTCCCGAGAATCCGAAGGGCAAAGCGGTGGAACACCAGGAGACAAGATTGTGCTTCTGCGGGAAATGAAAACGAGAATCAAAACCATTGAGCAGGTAGTTGTGAATGAAAGGGATAGACTTGTTAAGCAGAGAAGGAGAAGTTATTCGAATAGAAGCAGAGACCGGAGGAAGGTGGAAGAAGACAGATATCTCGACGAAAAGGTCTCTGGTGAAATCAGACCGCGAAGATCAAGAGCGAGAATGTCCGAGGTGAAAGGCGGGTTATTGATGAAAGATATTCCTCTTGATCAAGTTGCAGACAGAAGTCGGGGAACTAGTTGCGGTTCCAATGATCAAATGCTCGAGTTGTGGGAAGAATCTACTGAACTAGATGCCAGCATAAAGTCTCTGATCAACCGTAATAACTCGAAAAAACCCGTAAATTCTCGTATCCATCGCAGGAGTAGGAATCCATCGGCGGAATTACAGTCGGAGAAAGTGGTCGGAGTCATTGACAAGCTCGAGTTATCTAGAAGTATCGAAGACACTGTAAAGATTCAGGAGAGACTTCTGTCTGATTCACGGAGACTGGCAAGCCTTCGAGTAAGCATTCGAGATCTGAAAAACAAGCTGGAGATGAACGAGAAACAAGGCAGATTCAGTAACCCAGAGCACGAAAAAGCGAGGAGAAGGTTGAGAGAGATGGAAGAAACGATCTTGCAGCTGGTGAACACGACCGAGATACTGTCAAAGGAGATCGAAGAAACTGGAGATGCCAGAGATATATACAGAAAGGTGGTAATGGAGAGATCGAAAAACGGGTCTGAGAAGATCGAGCAGTTGCAGACCGAGATGCAGAACATAGAGAGGACGGTTCTTAAGCTTGAAGATGGAGCCAAGAGCAGATTAAGGAAGAAATTCTCGGAGAATCGGACAGTGATTCTGTTGAGAGACATAATCCACAAGGGCGGGAAAAGGACAGCGAGGAAGAAGAAGAAGAATCGATTCTGTGGCTGCATGAGATCTCCAGCTAATGAAGAGTAGGGGGTGGTGAATAACATAACAAGCATCTAATTTACTGTCCTTTTTTCATAATATCTCCATGGACCTGACTCTAGACAGAGTTTTATGTTAAACTGTTAGGGCAAGTTCTGTCTGTAGTTTCTGTTAAACTGTATGTATCGATCTCTTCTGGTATGACTCGATGCTTCAAGCTCTGTATTTCTTTATCATTCAGAGAACATGTTCTTGAAAATTGCTCTCTAAGCCAACGTAAACACCAGAAAGATGGAAACTTTTTGACAAATGAGGCTACAAGGATCACTAAGGAAGTGTAGTATATTACAAGAGACGATGGGTCTTGCGTTTTATTACATGAAACCAACTAGAAGTTGGCAATATACCTCTCAGCTTGCAAAAGATTCAAAGAATTTTCAGAGCTTAATCTCAGCTGATCCTTGTTCATTGATGGGGAGTGAGAGAAGGAAACGAAGGAATAGACTGCAGAATCAGCTTCCGACCACCGTTTCTCCTTCCAAGGATCGATCCCGAGGAGTCTAGATTCGGAGGAGAGACTCTCTTGCTGTTGGGAGAGACGGCTTTGACGGTGGGAATGGGGGATCGGACGAGAATCTCGGGCATATCGTCTTCTGTTCCGTCCTCTGAAATCGTCTCGAAGCTGTTGAACTGCCTCGAGGAGGAAGATCCAGCTCCAAGAAGAGACTGGGAAACTGTCTGGTTATTAGATGGGAAGGGCAGTTGAACCAAAGGTTGTCTGCAAAAAAAAAACAGCAAGAACATCATCAACTCGAGGTTCTGTCTTGTTTAGTGTTTACAGTCATTTCAGAATCAAAGCTACCAGCTTTCAGGTTCAGATTCTACCTGTACAGTGGCAATGGTGTTGAAGGGAGACCAGAACTCTGGTTCTGCTCTTCTTCATTGAAGATCTCGGGGTTCTGTTGTGCTTTAGCAGTTACGTATTTCTCAGATGTGTCGTTCTCCTCTTCTTGCTCGCCTTCGCTGCCAATGCCGGAAGACCCTGAAAGTTGTAACTACACAAGATCAGACCAAAGCCAAGGGAGAAAATAGACAAAGATTTGATCAGAGAATTCTAACCGTCTTTACGCCCGAACGCGTTCTTGCATCCTTCGCATCTACAGTTCACCGAACACCCGACTCCACCCTTTTAAAATATCAGGAGACCGAGTGGTTCTGAATCAGACAAGGGTAGATAACGAAGCAGAAGCAAATAGAGTATATACCGAGATGAAAAAACCTGAAAACATTCGCAGTATTTCTTCAGACAGCTTGATTTCTTGCAATTGCAACCTCGTTTATGACGTGCAGAAGCCGGAGTTTTGCTTGCATCGTCCTGTATTGTCGACAGGATGTTAGCTTTTTTTCTACCGAGAAATGAGCAAGACAGAGAGAAATCATCAGGAGAAGAAACCCTTACCCCGGCTTCTGATATTGGGTCAGAGCTTCGAATAACTTTAGGAGCAAAGGCGAGCGGGTTCCGGGATTCAATCTGTTTACGGGTTGCAAGGACGGTGTCTTCATGGATAGGTTTGTTGAAGCAATCGACACATGAACAAGGCTCAATGCAATATACACCAGCAGCAAAGCATTCACAGTAACTGCAGAAGAAGAAGAAGCATCAGAAGAGAATTCTAAATCATGAGAATACGTCAATGGCGATCATAAAAGCTTACAGCTTCAAACACTTGGATTTCTTGCAGTTGCATCTCTTACAGGATTCCCCCTCTCCGCCTTGATCAAACTTACGCCTGCACATTATTAAGCATACAAATATTTATACAAATATCGGTTTATGTATAACGGATTTTTTCGGCCAAAAGAACCTGCCTCTTCTTCTTAGGGCTACTCGGGTTTAACTCTTCACTGACCGATGCCTTGGAAACATCTTCTACTTCTTGACTCGCATCCTCATCACGGGTTTCTTGCACGTTTTCTTTGGAATGTGTGTTAGCGCCCGGCAAACTTACGTGTATCTTTCCGGGAAATGAGTACTCGTTTAAGAGACTGGCTTTACTGTCCTTTGAGGACATGGCAATGGCGTTTAGGTGCAGACCGATACTAGGTAATATACATCGGGAAGATGGTTCAGAAGGCGAGACAAAGTCCAGACATCGCCTTCTCAGACCACGGTGAAAGTTAGAAACAGCCTAAAAATGGATCATTTCAGAGATATTGATCGATCAAGAACCAGGAAATAACTAGCATTTGTGTTCATAGAGAAGGAACAGAGAGTTATATAGTTTCTTGAGTTAACCTCGGCGGATTCATTGTCTTCTCCATTGCTTGGATCATCACTGGTGAAATTATTTGCATGGGGTTGTATCAAATCTCGAAAGGCTTCCGAATCATTAGGAGAACTGAATATCAACAGATCGGTTGAATCTGAGATCAGACTTTCCCAATCTGGAGTGTCGTTTTTACGGAACAGAGAGTTATATAGTTTCTTGAGTTAACCTCGGCGGATTCATTGTCTTCTCCATTGCTTGGATCATCACTGGTGAAATTATTTGCATGGGGTTGTATCAAATCTCGAAAGGCTTCCGAATCATTAGGAGAACTGAATATCAACAGATCGGTTGAATCTGAGATCAGACTTTCCCAATCTGGAGTGTCGTTTTTACTGCTCTTGACATTACACATCTTCTGCAGGTCCATAGCAACAACCTCGGACGAATCTCTGTCTCCTATGGGCTCCGTTTCAAAGTTGCCATTAGATGGTTCAATGGAAGCAGCTTCTTCTTCTTCCATGGAAGCTTCCGCACTAAAGTTTTCAGGAGCAGTGACGACTTCTTCAATGGCCGAAGACCCATCTCTGGATTTTGCCTCGGGCTTCGGAGGAGGATGACTATAGCAAGAAACACAAAGAGATCAAGATCAAGACAGAGAAAAAAAAACACCAACAGAGGACTATGGAAGGAACAGAAAATCGTTATTACCTCCTGAAGAACCTGGATTCGTTGTGAGAATTGACGTGGGGGGACGTGAAAACTGAGGGAGGAGATGAGAAACTGAGTGAGCCAAACGTCTGAGCAATGGGGATGGATTTCACAGATTTGATCGGAGAAAGACTGTTGATATAGTTGAACACAGGCGAATCCTGCATTACATTATTACAGTTAATCTCTTTTGTCAGTTTCAGTGTTTTTCTTTTACTTACAAGCACAAAAACAAACATCTATCTGTCTTGTAACCAAAGGAAAGAGAAGAGATGACAACAGAGAAGATGAAATTTCGAGACGACAAGGCAAAAACTGTGCTTCTCTGAGGAACAAGAGCGTGGCAGAACAGAACAAGAGTAATCATATCAGAGAAAACGTACGGGTTTGGTAATGGATTGAAGATGGAAAACCAGAAACAAGATAAAGGGGATAACTGAAACCATCAAACTGAAATATCAAAGTCGGTTACCAGTACGCTCTGTCTGAAACCTAACCGTCCACAAGAACATCTGATTTCTCGGAAGAATTAGAGGGAGAGAGAGAGAGAGAGAGTGGAATGAACACGTAGAAGAGCAAATTGAAAACCTGATCAATGTACGGAGTGTAGAAGTGGAATCGACCGGAGGATTAAACGCGTGAAAACTTGAAACTTTGGACCAAAATGCAGAAGATTTAGAGATGGGCATCGAAGAAACACAGACAAAACACAAAATTCAGAGGGAAAATAACAGACCCGACCAAGAAAGCACCACACTTTCTCGGAACTGCATGAACAGAGAAGGAGAGAAAGATTCGAACTTTGACCGAAACAGGAAATGGTGTCCAAGAAAAAACCTCGAATTTGGATTTTGAAATTGGAGTTCCGATCTGGGCAGCGGTCTTCTGCGGTGTATCCATTTTCCAACAAAAGAAAGAATCACATCCAAATTCTCCCTCCTCTCTCTCTCTCTCTCTCTCTCTAAGAGTGAGTGAGTGAGTGTAGAAGATGAGTTTCAAAGGCGGGAGATGAGGATTTTTCTCGTGGAGATGATAGAGCAGACCCACCACATGAAAGCTCGCCACTTGCTCCCTGCACTTGTTCTCCGTTATTCATATATATACACGTATATGTATGTATGTATGTCCCTGTAAAATCTTTAAATGCTTTGGTTTTGTCTAAGAGGGAGAATGGTTAAAAAAATGACTTCTAAAAAGTTTGAGAGCTTATTTTCATTTATAATGTAGGGTTTTAAAAAAATAATCAATACACGTAACCACTATGTATTAATTGTAAAAACGCCAAATTTCTAAGTTCATATTTCATCCAATCATAACAAAACAATCATTTTTTTATAATCACAAACAATCATATTTTGTGAATCACAAAAATAATTAATATATTTTCTCTCATTTTTAAAAATTTATGAATTACAATAAAATTACCGATTCATTGCTTTCAATAAAGGAACGGCCACATTGATTTTTTTTTTCCTTTTCTTCTTCCCTTTTCTTTTTATTTTCATATTATATGTAACTTTATTCTGCTTTTTTCTAAAAAAATCGGACTGATGGTAAAAAAAAAATAATAAAATAATTTACTGGCGTAATCACAGTTCCTCGCTGCTTCTAATTTGTTTGCATGCGCCGGAAATCCTCCA